CAAGTTTAAGATCAGTTATTTATTCTATACTTGCGGGACCAGTTGATACTGGAGCAGCCCTATATAGTACACAGTCATGAGCCAATGTTCATGATTTACAGTTCATGTTCATGATGTAAGGTCGACGTATAATAGTTGTTCAGCCGGGTAAAATGTGGCGGTCTGAGATACAGACTATTAGTCCAAAATTACCTGGAAACTTGAAGTTGTACCTTATCGAGTTAAGTAAGTCAGTAAACGTCATGTTCCAAATTCCGAGATAATTATCTTATTATCTTGGGATAGTTTCAGCATTCAAGGTAAGAATGATTCAGTCATGTAAGAATCAAGTCATGGTTATTCAGTCATGAGAATATTCATGTCAGTCATGTCAAGATCGAAGATGGTCGGTCTAATAAGACAAGACTTATCAGTCACTTTCAGTATGTTCAGAGCCTCGATTCTCAAATACAGATGACTTGAGAACTCGTAGGAAAGATCAGTTCATGATAAACTTTTCTTGAGGTTAAGTTTGACCTCAGGGAAGGTAAACAGTTGCAGGTACAACATGTCGATTTTCGACACGGCGAAGAAGACCAATCAACAGCAGCAGATCATGCCATGGTGACAACCAAGCTTTCCATTCAAGTATGCATGACGCCAGAAGAGCAGGATGCCATACCATGTTTGGTCACAGTACACTGGGAAATTACAGAGAGTTAGCACTTTAGTACATTGAGGATTACTAGCCAAGATACAGATATGATCAGCCATACAGACTACATCGACGTCGCAGGTGCAATTTTCGCCAGGTGCTGTATGTAGGTGTGCCGCACTCACTTGACGAGGAGCAGGTATACCGCATTACGATGTGCCGCGAATGATGTGCCGCGTATCGAGTAGACAATTATGAAAGGTAGTTGCCACGAATGCTAGTTACCCTCCTTTGTACATGTGCGCGTCTCTGAAATTTTTCAGGGGTACCTATGACGGGGAGTAACACAATCAACATTCAAATCGAAGACCCGTAGTCAGCTAGAAGATGAAGATCAGTACGTTCCAGAATAATGTTTATTCAGTGAACACTTTATTTCAGAAAAGTGTTTCATTTCAGTCAATGTTAAATCATCAACTCACTTAATGGTGAATTGTTGATTTCTCAGTCAAGATCAAGTCTAATGTTCAGTATTCAATACTGAATCCTCAAGTCACGTCAACCATAAGTATAAGCTTTATATTAAGCTTGAACATTTCAGTTTAGTATTTCCGAGGACGGAAATATTTTAAGGAGGGTGGATTGTAACACCCCGAGTTTTATTAATAAAGGGATTACTAGCTTTTAGTTTTAAGCTAGCCTTTGTTAATAAATAATCATGTTCATGTTCAAGTTCATGTTAGTCAGCTAGTTATATTCCAAGTCCGACTATTAGTCGGTGTGTCATTCGGTTGGATTATTCCAAACTGAATGAGTTTCTAGATTTAGTTCCGATTTATTAAGTTAACGAATTGTCCGAAATGTCGATATTCGGATAAATCGTCCAAGTCATGGATATTCGAATTAATTTTTGAATATCGATTTTATGTTCGGATTAATTTTGGTATTTAAGTACCAAACTTAGTCTAAGGATTAAGCATTAATCATGCTTAAGAAATTGAAAATATCGTGAGGCATTTTTATACCAAAAGTCATGATCATTTATTTTCAAATTTCATGTTCCACTTTTAATATAATAATAAAATAAAGTCATAGCAATATTTTCCCAAAATCATTTCAATTGCCGTGAGAATATTTTTTAAAAATGAAAGTCATGGAAATCTCTTTATTTACTTCTAGCATGAGGTGTCACGGTCCTATAGCATATGTGGTGACTAATCTTAGAGTGGTGTGACTAATTTTATTTAATGCTCCAAATCAAGCCATGTGTCCCCAAAAATCTACCAACTTTCTCTAACTTTCGGACATGTATATATAGCTTGAGAAATTGGGATTTTGTCCACATTTTTGAGCTATAAAAATCAGTATATATGCTAAGTATAAAGAGAAGTGAGGGAGAGTTAACACACACTCACGTATATCGCATGACACACTATCCTCCGAGCAGTTAAGAGGGTAATGACCTCTGGACCTTATTCTAATGTTTAAAGTTATCATGTGTATTCCAATTCATGTTAATTAGTTTATGTTTAAATCAGTTCAGTCAGCTTATGTCAAGCAATTTATATTAACAGCAAATTATGCTCGGTTTAAGCCGTTGAGGTCATGGCCGAATAAAGTCTTATTTATTCGGCAATTCTTGAGCTATTTATGTTCAGTTAGTCATGTTATGTTATGTTATGTTAGTTATGTATGGTTAATTATTTTAAGTTAAAATATGTCTAGTTATAAGAGATGTCGCCGGGAAAGCAGCCGGACGGCCGGCGGAACGCCGACCGTGACGCCTACTGCACGCGGAATGCGTACAGGCGCAACCGGCAAACCCAGCGAGTACACGGGCAGCGTGTACGCGTCCAGTAATGCGCACGCGTACCCAGTACCCAGTCATCAAGCATCGCAATGCCATTGTGGTGTGTGAGGATGCGCATAGTGTGCGCACATACACACAGCAATGCGTCATCGCGACTGTCTACCCAGTCCGCGTACGCAGCGACGCGTCACACGCCAGCAGCGTGTCTCGCGAGACATGTACGCATGCCAGCAGCGTATTACGCACGCTGGCCGAGTAGGCATGCATTCCAGTACGCCCGACAGCGTACCGGCAATGCACAACGAGTCTCGGTGATGCCCGGCAGCACACCCGAGTACTCGAGGGTCTTAGCCACGTAGTCCAGCGCACCAGTTACCTGCCCGTGATGCGTGAATGTGTCTGGCGGTACGTGTGCGAGTCGCAGCCGTCACCAGCGGGCACGGCAATCACCTTTTTGCACTCAGCTAGTGCCCAAACGCCGCTGGCCGTACACAGTGGTACGCCAGCGACCGTCCGAACGCACACACGGTGCCAACGGCACCAACCAGCGTCCGGGATCAGCCCAGCAGTCGCGCCCATAGCCGCAGCATGGCTGTGAGCCGAGTCAGCCGCCGACTGACCGGTCCGAGCAGACCGGCGGTTCGGCCAGACCGGTTCAGACCGGTTTAGACCGGTTGGACCGATTTGTTTTATATTTTTATGTTTTAAGTCCCGGTTCATGTTCATACCCTAATTTCAGTTAAATTCCGGGTCCGGTCCAGTTCAGTAAAATTAGGTTAATCCAGTTCCAAGTTTAGTCAGTCCCGGTTATACCGGTTAAGTTCAGATATCATGTTTAAAGTCCAGTAGAGCATCTTAACATGTTAATCAGTTATTTTATCAGTCTGAGCATAGCAATTAGTAATTGTTTATATTATTTTCAGTTTGATCAGGATGCAGATATCAGCACTTACATTTTCAGATCAGCAGTTCAGGTGGGGACTCAGACTAAGTACTACATTGTTTATAATTGCTCTACCATGTACGAGGTATGTATTTTCAGTATCCGCTCGGAATGGCCGCCGGTCCGTTCTGGGTTCTAGTGGCCCTAGTCTGCCCACTAGAGTGTGCACATGGTGTCCGGTTCGCCGGCAGATGTTCAGTTCAGATGTGACTTCGGTCACTACGTGGCTTCGGTCACGAGTTCAGTTATCAGACGTGACTTCGGTCGCGAGTACGTGACTTCGGTCGCGAGTACGTGACTTCAGTCGCGAGTTCAGACCGGTATCAGTTCAGTTCAGATATATATGCTTAGCTCATGATATTGTTATTATTTACAATGTTTTACATTAGTATGGGTTTCCACGGAGCACAGTGCCTTAGTGCTCATTCCCCAGTTTTATCATGTTTTTCAGGAACAGCGTCGGACGAGAGGAGTGAGCTGGTTTGTGGATCGTGGTCAGAGATATGGCTAGCAGCCATTGTACATTATTGTACAGCTATGTTTTGCCACGTATGACTTCCGCTGTCACTTTACGATATTTCAACTAGCATGTCAGTTTTTATTTTTAAACTGATTTATCAGACAGATTTTTATAAAGTGTTACATGCAAGTTGATCTAAGTTAATCCGTTTATTCTTCAAGGTTAAATTTAAATAATGGTAACGGATTTCTTAAGCAATGAATGGTTTCTAGTAGCATCCCGAAAAGGATTTCGCAAATAATTATGTATTATTAAGAAAAGAATTTGCGAAAAATGCGCTCTGATATTTATGGAAAAGCGGGGTGTTACAATCTATCCGTCGATACAACCTATTATCCGCTATCCGCTATAAGGCAATACCCGATCAATGTTTCTTTGCAATTTCTACTGTGAAACATATTGTCTATGCTTTTATAACCAACCAGCACATGTAGCATCTTATGTTGCTACATTTCCCAGTTGTCAGTGTAAAGGCCAATCCTCTAAAACAGCTAAGAAACAAAGTATATATTGTAGCATCTGTGTTTCCTAGTCTCTAGCAGACTGGTATGTGGAAATGTTGTGGATCGTTTGGATAAGGGGATCAAGATTATTAAAAAAAATCATAAATTCAATTAAATGTGATATTCTAATATATTTTACTTTGATCGGAAAAACGATTCCATAAACTGAAACAGTAAAACTTGAGGAACAGTGAACATAACACTTGGAAGTTCATGAATAATCTTCAAGATACATACCCGATATTTTTCATGTCTCAAAATTGCACCAAATGTAAGCAAGTTGAAATAGTTACTACAGAACTTGAGAAACATTCGGTTGCCAAATGCAAACATCAGTACTTACTACATAGTAAGATCTCAAGCCAATCACTCAACAAACTAAACTGAATAAAATGCAAGCTGACATGCGTTGGATCCTCGCTCAAACAATGAAATTCTATCAAGCTCTTGGAGTTTCGTTTCCAGATCAGTGCTTCTAAAAGGTGAGATAAATATTTCCATCCTCTTCAATACTAGAGAATTCCTCAAAAAATATCTTACCATGTCAAATGCATACTCGTTGAACCACATCGACTTAAATGTTATAGTTCTTAGAGATGATAATAGGCATTTAGGTACTTGTTCGGGCTCCTGACAGAAATATCCTTCTTCAAGATCACCTAGCTGACACTAAAAGGAGCATAACAAAACGAGGAAAACAAAAGGGGGTATTGATGTAAGAAAAACGAGAAACGGCTAAAGATAAATTTAATTGTATCAACGATAAACTCAAACTTACAATAAGAACTTCAAGATTATCCACAACTTCAAGGAACTTTACAAGCAAATTCCATTTGAAGTTGAATCGAATTTCAAGTTTGGTTAAATTATCAAACTTGACATTTGAACAAGCAAGTCCTCTACGAACAAACTGAAAAAATTAAAGCCACATTACGGATATATATATATAACAACAAAGCCGAAAACTAATTGACACGAGGACTAAGAGATTGAAGAATGAAAACATACCTCCTCAAATTCCCAACCTGATATCTTTAGGCACTTTACATAACAAAGAGAATGAAGAAACTTCACCACCGTGGAATTGTAATACGTTTTGGGATTTGAGAAGCAATAATATCTTAAGCGGATATTTGCCTCAGCTAAGGAGATCATGTTTATAGGAATAGTCATACACTTCAAGTCATAGCCATCCACTTGGAGATACCTAAGGGCAGGGCAATTTATTACCATCGTATATCCAAGGCGGGATGGAGAATAGAAATGGTCAAAAGAGAGCTTAAGCATCTGTATCGTGGGTGATGATATATCTTTGCAGCCAAAATAATCATCTACTTCCACAAACATGAATAGTATAATCAACTCTTCGAGTGACGGACAGCCAGATAGAAAGCGAGGAAGTGCATCATCATTCTCGCATATAAGATTATAAACACAAAACTTCTTGAGGCTAGGTAGAGAGACATTGTCCATACCAGAGAGTGACACTCTACTCATACCAAGCTTCAAGTCGACAATGGTTTTGCAGTCGAAGAGGCATCGAGGAATTGTATCCAAGTCAAGTTCAAGATAAAGATTCCGAATACTACGGTCGATGGCAGTTGTAATCAATGTCTCCAGTTGATACTCGTTGCATTTCAGGTTAGAAAGTGTAAGAGTATCCATTATTTTTGCCTTGTGCCGCAATATAACCTTGTGGATGATGTCCAAGGCTTGTGTTCCTTCTTCCTTGAAATTGGCCAAGTCTTGTGTTCCTTCTTCTTCTTCTTCTTCTTCCATGAAATCGTCCAAGTCTTGTGTTGCTTCTTCTGCCATGAAATCGTCCAAGGCTTGTGTTTGTTCTAACCAGAAATCGTCGTCCAAGTCTTGTGTTTCTTCTAACAAGAGATCTTCCGAGGTTTGTGTTCCTTTCTTCCTGAAATCGCCTCCTCTGAAATGCAAGCAGGGTACATGGGCCCATAGAGACCTCCATCTTTTTTCGAGAACACTGGTCGCCACTGAGAGCTTTGTCGGGAGAAAAGAGAGAATGTGGCATTTGACGTCGTCCGGCAAGCTGCTCAGCCTATCGATCGAGGCCATGGTTTGCTCTCTATCTGAAACCGTTTGGCAATTTCCACTTAGTTGTCTGGTTTCCTCCATGTAAATTCTGAAAAAGGCAGTAGCATTCAGGATTCAAACTACTGTCTGATGGGCAGTTTAATTCTAATTAAAATATGAAGAAGATGATGATGATGATGATGAGACAGAATATGAAAAGGCTGAGAGCATTTATTTAAAGCCATTAATGTGGCTTAGAAGTCGAAAAGGAGACTCTTGCGATTCCCATGCGCCATGTGGAATGAAAATAATAAAGTATCATGACTTACATTAAAAACACAAAAACAGACTGGAAAAATAGCTACAACATAGTTGAATCCCACACAATCCGCTAACTAATTTGTTTGATAGAGTTTTTACAGTATTGGCCGAAAAAATGCTAATTTAAATAGTACTAATAAATTAACTCATCAACCCATTGTACAGATTGCCGATGAAACGACTGGATTCTCTTCAAACATGCAGTCGTTGAAGCTAATCTCCGCCTCAAACAAGTAAATGGCCGCTCATCTAAAACCCAATACGCAAGTACGAGCACTCAGTTCACCTTAAGACACCTCAGCCAGTAGCATCCACAAGCACCAAGCAATATACATTGTCAAACAGGAGTTCGAGCTCAAGACTCCTCAAAGAGGCCGATTCCACAATCAAATGGTCCAAAGCATTTGCTATCCCACTCACGGTCAACTTCTCTAGGACCGGACACTCCTCTAGCAGCCAAGGAAGGGCATAAAAAACCTCGTACTGAAACAAACGTAGGTAGAACCAAACGTAATGAACAATGAGCTCCTCATTGAGTTTGTAAAAAGAAAGTTGGTCTGATTATTCATTACAACAAACCAAAATATCAAACAACTTTGGCCTGAATATTCATTACAACAAACCAAAATATGAAACAACGTTGATATCTTGATTCGCAAAGTTATACTATTACATGTGTTCACTTACTCTCTTATCTTAAATACTCGTTTACTCTTTCAGCAAATCTCGAGATCAAGGATTTTCAACGGGCTATTTGAAGGGCTGAAAACATACAATCTATTTATTAAATGTTCGCCACAAAAGTAGTACTACTAAATATTGATAGAACATATAAAATACAACAATGACAAAATAATTATCAAATTAACCTATCTGGTTGTAATGGAGCTACGTACAGTACCATTAGTGACGTAGTTTAATAGCTTTTTTGCCAATATTTTTCCAGGTGGCCGCTATCTGTTTTTTCTAGTAGCAATCTAAAAGGCTACTAGTGATGGCATAATCGAACCATATACTTCAAGATTATGTACTTTGTATAAAATGTTCTAATAAAGTAAGACGCATAATCAAATGCAATGTGATGACCTTCAAGATTTTTACGATGTTTGACATATATTTCCATGCTTTTCATGTCTTCAAGACTGGGAAAAGTATATCACATACTATAGTACTCTTGTCATGCCGTCCTTATTATTACTGTATAGAAGATTGTTGCAATAAAAACCTCACTAAAAATAAGAACTTCACGGATACCAGCACTTTAGAGTAATTTCACAATAAAAAATCTATCAACAGCACATTCAAGTTATAAATTGCATTGAATATGATATACTAATGTATTTTACAATTGATAAGAAAAACGATTCCATCGACAAACATCAGCATCAATAAAAATAGGCAATTAGGAGTCAACGTTCGAAAATATACCTCAACATTCAATACTAAACTGGGTCAAATCAGCAATCTTCTAGCTCGAATGCTAGTTCAAACGTGCCGGATAATGTCATTCGGCAAGGTGCAGTTCAGCATAGTGATCCTTAAGTGATACGAGCAACAAAAGTGGAAGAATTTTCCTAACAAAACAAAGAAATATTACCCATAAGCTATTGACATATAATGATATGCTAATTAAATCAATACTAAATGAAAACACAACACTCCACAGTCATTTTTTTAACAAAAAAAACAACCCCAACGAGCAATCACTGCTCACCATTACTTACTAACACAGACAATTGTTTCAATCATTCAAAGACAAAACAAAACAAAATCCTCGTATGAAGGAAAATTCTCGAACTGTACATTCTCGATGAAACAAATTGGATCTTGTTTGGCCCATGAAGAATATGTATCCATCTTCTTGAGGGCTTGAGCATTTTCAGAAAAATAAACCGTACGACTTCAAATTCTTCAGCTCGACATCCAAACTGTTCGATTATTACAGTTTTGAGTGAACAAAGAAGGCAAGCAAGCACACCGTCCCTTCATGGGTTCCGACGAGATTTTGAGATTATTGAAACCCTGTAAGTGACGGAGATAAACCAAAAAGGAACAAATTCCGGCGACGACGCCGGTGGCCATGTAGGCCTCAGTTGGGAGAAAAGGGTCGCTCAGCCCATGAATTGGAGAAAAGGGCCATGTAGACCTCAGTCGGTTGAAGTTTTATTAGTGGGCCACGCCTTTGGGTCAACCCAAGCAAAAAGTATCATTAACTTGGAAATAATTTGTTGTTTAACTACAAATCATTTTTTTATGTATATTTAGGAAGTTTTTATTTTTAATTGCAAATATATTACGAGTATATATATATATATATATATATATATATATATATATAAAGGTTTATAAATACACTAACTTTTATGCTATGGTTTACTAGTATAACACCCGTGTATTACACGGGTGCTTGTTAAAAAATTATTCTTAAATTTTAAAATTAATGAGAAAACTATATTAAATTTAGTTTTTTTTTACAAAAACAAATATATTACTATATATTTTAGAATGATATGTGTTACTTATGACTTACATGTGTTATATTATATTAGTTTTTATAACTTATATCAAATAATTACTGGAAATATAAATATATTAGTTGATAAATAATTTTATTTTTCTAATTAATATTAAAAATAATTTTATTATTGTTATGAAGATAAATATAAAGTATTTTTATACATACAATATGGATGTTAAATCGAAGCTCATAAAAAAAGATTAATTTGATATATTACATATGTAAAACTGATAAAAAAATACAAAAGTTATTAACTTTTAAAATATATATACAATTCAATAGTTATAATAAGAAATGATATTAAAATGTAATTAATACATGTTGAATGACCATAAATAATCAACATATTTATGGTAATCCGAACCTAATTATTTTTAGTTTGAAATTAAATTAAGATTTACCCAAGCTTAATAACAAAACATGTAATTTTGTCACATAGGATTCCGAAGCACCAGAAGCAACCTCGTAGGCTCAGCGCGTTTTGAATTAATATATAGAGGCGATTTGCTATTTATTTTATCACTCTTTGAGAATTGCATTGTGTTTAGTTCATTAGTCATTTATGAATGATCCCTGTGGTTTAATTTTAAATTATTCATGTATGATTTAATTTTGAATGTTGTAAATTCACCAAAAAAAAAAAAAAAATTCTAGCAAATATTTAAAAGGACATATTTCTTTCTCCTTAGGATCGTTTGCATTCGGAATGAAATTTATTTAGTTTCGACTGTTTAGTTTGAACTCATTATGGTTAACCTATAGGTTTTTTTCTCTCCTTAAATACCACTGAGCTACATCTATAGGCTAAGCGTGTTGCTCTACCAACTTGATTTTATTAATGTAAATAAGATACAATATTTATATTATTTTTTAATAAAAATACACATTATTATTATTTTCTTTCATTATAAAATATTCAATTCTTTATCTTATTTTAATTTTTTTGCTATTTCAAGTTTGGGTAATTTTGCTATTATTTTTAAGAAAACATATAATATAATTGCTCATTATTTAAAAACAAAGATAATGATTATTAGGAAAGTGACTTAAAAATACTTTTATCTTGTCACAAATATTGAAGCCTCATAACATGCCAATAATCCTCTCTATATAATTCCCGAATGCGCTGAGCCTACGTGGCTGTTTCTGGTGCTTCGGAATCATACTTGGCGAAGAATCATGCTTCGTAATAGGTTTGGACAAATAATATTGATATATTAATAATTAATAATTTAGGCTCGGACATTCCATAAATATTATTTAGCTAACTTAGGTACTTTAATATCACTTTTACTAATATAACCCTTTAAATATTTGTAATTTTATATAGTGAGACACTAAGTGACTAATATATCCATGACTTTTGATTTGTTTCTTTCAATTAGCTATTGAGTTGTAAATTTATTTTAAAAGTTGATAACTTTTGTATTTCATATCGATTTTACATATACGATATATCAAATTAATCATCTTTTGATGATCTTCGATTTGCCATCCATATTGTATATATGAAATATATAATTTATGTTTATCTTTATATAATAAAAAATAATAATATTTATTAAAAATCATTAGGAATATAAAATTATTTATCAATTGATATATTTATGTTTAATGTAATTATATGTTGTAAGTTAAAAAAATTATTATAATATAACACAAGTAAGTCGTACAAATAAAAAAAGTGTCATACTAAATATATAATAATATATATATATATATATTTATAAAAGGTAGTGAAATTTTTAATTATTTTTTCTCATTAATTTTATATTTTAAGAAAAAAATAGCAAGCACCCGTGTAATACACGGGCATTATACTAGTACATACATTGAAGCTTAAACTCGAGACAAAATTAGTTGAGAATTTTTCAATCAATTTTGAAGGTAGTTGCTGGGAAATGAGCAGCTACAACTGCAACAAGGGTGAGTACAAATGCACTAAAACAGTAACACTTGAGCAACAACAACACATAACATAACACTTGGGAGTTTATGAATCATCAACAAGCTACATACTCAATATTTTCATCGTCTCACAATCACGAAACATTAGCAAGTCAAAATAGTTACTACAGAACTTACTACATAATAAGATCTCAAGCCAATCACTCAGCAATCTGGAAGGAAGTCAAGTTGACATGCATTGGATCCTCGCTCAAATAATGAAATTCTCTTAAGCGCTTGGAATTTCTTTTCTAGATCATTACATTCATAAAATAGTTCCATCCTCTCCAATACTTGAGAATTCTTCAAAATATATCTCACCATATCAAATTCATGCTCTTCAGACAGCATCCCCGAAATTGTTATAGTTCTCAGACAGGATAACAGACATTTAGGCACTTGTTCTGGGTCTGGAGAAGAATATCCCCTTCCAATATAAAAAAACTGCTGACACTAAAAGGAGCATAACAAAATGAGTAAAACGAAAGAATGAGCTATTGCTGTAAGAAAAACGAGAAACGGCTGAAGACAAATTTAATTGCATCAACGATAAAAGCCACTTACAATAAGGACTTCAAGATTGTCAGCAACTTCAAGGAACTTTACAAGCAAACTCCATTTGAAGTCCAATATGATCTCGAGTTTGGTTAAATTATCAAACTTTACATCTGATAAAGCAACTCCTCTATAAACAAACTGAAAAGATTAACACCCCATTACGCATATATATAACAACAAAGCCGAAAACTAATTGACAGGAGACCTAAGAGATTGAAGAATAAAAACATACCTCCTCAAATACCCAACCTGATATCTTTAGGCACTTTACATGACACAGAGAATGAAGAAACTTCACAATGTAATTGTAACTTGGTTTGAGATCTGAGAAGGAATAATCTAGGAAGTAGATATCTGCATCAACTAAGAAGATCATCTTTATAGGAAATGTTATACACTCCAAGTCATAGTCAACCACTTGGAGATACCTAAGGGCCGGGGCATTTATTATCATCCTATATTCAAGGTTAGATGGACAAGTCAAATCGCCAACATCGAGCTCAAGCGTCTGTATTGTGGGTGATGATATATTTATGCAGTCCATGTAATCACTTTCTTCCACAGATGTGAACGTCATATTCAACTCCTCAAGGGACGGGCAGCCGGAAAGAAAGCGGGGGAGGGCTTCATCATTCTCGCACACAACATTAGAAACATGAAACTTCTTGAGGCTAGGCAATGAGACATTGCCAACATCAGAGAGTGACACTCTATAGCAAGCAAGCTTCAAGTCCACAATGGTTTTGCAGTTGAAGAGGTATTCAGGGAATGTATCAAAGTCAAGTTCAAGATAAAGATTCCGGATACTACGGTCTATGGCGGTTGTAATTAATGTCTCCAGTTGATACTCGTTGAATTTGAGGTTATAGAGTGTTAAAGTATCCATTCTTTTTGCCTTGTGCCGCAATAATACCCTGTGGACGATGTCTGAGGCTTGTGTTCCTTCTTTCCTGAAATCGTATCCACCGAAGTCCAGACAAGGAACATGAGCCCATAGAAACCTCCATCTTTTTCCTAGAACGCTGGTCGCCACTGAGAGCTTTGTATCGACAAAAGAGAGAATGTGACATACGATGACGTCCGGCAAGCTGCTCAGCCTATCGATCGAAGCCATGTTTTGCTCTCCATCCGAAAGCTTTGGGCACATTCTACTCGATCGTCTTGACTTCCCCATGCAAATTCTGCCAAAAAGCACCTGATTTTCACAACTTCAAACCAAAGCAGTAGTAGCATTCACAGGGTACCAGGATTCAGACTATTTTCTGATAGACAGTTTAATATATTCTAAGAATTATGTGAAGAATATGATGAGACAAATATGAAAAGGTTGAGAAATAAAGTTAACAGTAGATAATTTATTTAGCAACTAATGTAGCTAAGTAGTCGAAAATGGCAAGGGAGAAACCTGAAGCCTAAACACAAAGACTCTTGCAACTCCTACAGCCACATGAAACCGACAATACAACACAAACACGAACCCCGGGAATAATACCCGGGTATTGGAACGGAATTACGAGCAGACAACTAAGGTAGCCAAAACACATTTCTGAAAAATTGGTCTGGACAATGATAAAATGTCACCATCTTCAAACTGAAACTTCATCAAGCGGTATTTCCCTCTGATGTGAATACAGAGAAGACTCCTACAAGCCTAAAAGAATATGATGAACAAATAATCCATATGAACTGAACCCTTCCTCCTCAGACAACAATCCGGTAAGGAAGTTCCTAATAACTCGACTGGAAATATAATCAAATTTCATCATACACCTCCTAAAATAGCTAAAAATCAAGCAATGTAAGAGAAACCCCTGTACCTATTCCCTTAAGCTTCCAACCTAGATTACATGAACCGTTATTTATTATTTAAATTAATGTAGTAATTACCTTTGAAATCTGTAAGTGAATTCGGAGGCGAGGCGTGGAGGCGGTGTCCCGAAGGTAGTGTCGGAGGCGGTGTCCAGAAGGCAGTGTCGGAGGCGACTCACGGTCTCAGGCGAGGCGTGGAGATGTCCGAGGCGAAACGAGGATGTTTTGAGAGAGAGAAATGAGACCAATTTTTTTTAGTATTTTTTTTTCCCGGGTCGAGGCGGATTTGTTACCCGGACCTGAAGGACAGGCGTCTGTCAAGTATCAACTGATTCGGTTGATGTTATTGGGCTTAGAGGTTCAATTACTCATTACGAATTGGGCCAAGTAGTTTAGCCTACTTGTAGCAACAAAATATAATTTAATCCAATAACTAAGTAAGATGATATGTATAAGGGTATTATATTATACGGAATTAAGTACAATCTCTCCCTCTCTTCTTGTACACTACTAAAGTACACCACCATCACGGTTACCAGTACGCTTAACCTAAGTAGCAAACTCGTATGATTCAAAAATTTATTTGGCATAATTATATATTTTATAGGGACACATGTATATGTTTGGTTTTAAGTTTACGAATTATCATAAATTATTTTAGGTTTTTTTTTTCCCCTAAGATAACATATATTATTCTTACTTTTTTTATTTAATTCATATAATAATTGTTATAAAAATAAATTCTTTATAATTTTTTTATATTTATAATTTTTTATTTGTATTTTATATTTTGTATATTATATCTCAAAATAATCATATTTTAACAATCTTCGATTTGACGCCCATATTGCATATATAAAATAAAAACTTATTACATCTATCATTATAAATAAAACAAATTTATTAAAAAACAAAAATTTAAAATATAGATATAAAATAAATTTTATATCTATCATTGCATAAATGTTATCCTCCAAATGAGCTTTGAGATCTCAAGATCAAACACCGAAAGACCACGGAGGTCGGAAACTGAATGATCTGACGTCGGGGTCGAAAACCGAAAGATTTGTCAATAAGGACAAGAACCTATTGATTTGCCACTGAAGTCGAACACCAGAAGTCGAACATCAGCTAAGGTCGAAAACTGAATCGAGACCGCTGAGGTCGAAAACCGAGAGTCGAGACTGCGGAGGTCGAAAACCGAGAGTCGAGACCGCGGAGGTCGAAAACCGAGAGTCGAGACCGCGGAGGTCGAAAAAC